CTCGGGCACCCCGTTGCCCTCCCCCTCCTCTTTGGTAGTCTCGCTACACCTCTCCCGTCGTCAGCATGTTGAAACCTAGTAGAAAGCGTACCGGCTGCCGGTACGAGGATGGTTTTTTTGCACAGTTCCCCCCGCAGGTTTTTTTCGCCAGTGGTACGTTCTTCCTGGCAGGTATTTCTAGCTAAAAGAATTGGGACTGGCCACCACGACTGTTGAAAATTATTACAACGACTCCCAATCCATACCCAGAAGATCCAGTGCTCTGGATGCTTCGGTTGCAGAGTTACGTCTAATTTCACGTGTTCGTACGTGAGTGGCTACGTGAATGCTTTCTTCGCCCACAGTTGCTCAAACACGGTCCTAGGCAAGGCTCAAAAAGTTTCAACTCTCCAGCTGCCCTGATTGCAGAGTTACGTCAAATTTCACGTGTTCATACGTGAATGGCAACGTGAATGCTTTCTTCACCCGCAGTTGCTCAAAAACAGTTCTGGGCAAAGCTCAAAAAGTTTCAGCGATCCAGCTGTTCTGGTTGCAGAGTTACGTCAAAGTGTACACGTGAAACGTGCGTGACACGCGAAAGTGATGTGTAAGTCGTTTTTGCGTGCAATTGATCAAACAAAGGTCGCCGTCGGCTATGCTCAGAAAGTCCAGGTCCTCTGGCTGGTTTAATCCTGAAGTTACAAAAGCGCGTGCGCGAAATTCTCACGTGTTCGTACGTGAGATGCAGAACAGCTGACAAGTAATTTACTTACACGGGCACAACAGTAGGTGACAAGTAACGCTGCATAACTGCAGCTCCCTGCAGCTTACCAGACAGCTTAAATCTACTAAGGCATGATGCCAGTTTAAAATTTGACGCGTGCGTACGTGAGACCTGAAGGTGCTTGAAGGCTGAATTTATAATCTTTGGATTAAATGCTGCCAAGGAACGTCTCTGTGAAGTTCCAGCCTCCTAGCATAGGCCGTTCCCGAAAACGCTTTACCGCCAAAAAACTTTCACGTGCCCCCACGTGAGAAACACGTAGACCTGAGCGTCCATTTTGAGGATCCAAGCCCGCACGTATGTGTAGATTAAATCACCAAATTTTTAACCTTGTAGCTTTTGTGGATCACGAGATGAAAACTCATTACAGACGAACACACAGAGACACAGACGCATACACACATACATACATACACACAGACACACACACAGACAACCCCTCGACAATATGCTTTTTGCATT